ATGCGGCAGGCAATACACTTGACCTACTTTTATCGAGCTTCCCTATCGGCACGCTGACGGCTTCGTCACACTCTTTAGTGAAGGCAGATGCCAATCACCCGCCCTTCGAGGTCGAGTTCTATTTGCCTTGCTTATCTCGAGAACTTGCAAAATTCATTTATTGCTATCAAAACGGAGATTACTTGAGCCTGTTCAAATATGCCGAATCATGCGATTGGTCTGAGCTATATGCTTCAAATGATGCTAATTTTACGGCCAGAGAATTGACGTCGGTTTTGAAAGAAGCTATTGACAAATATGTACCTAAGAAGCTTGTTAAAACTACTAAGTTTCCAAGCTGGTTTTCTAGGAAACTGAAGATTGCTTTGCGGAAAAAGTCTCGTTTTCATGGCCTATTTCAAGAGAACGTGCCAGCAAGTGTGATACCATAAATTTAGCAACTTCCGATCGTTAGATAAGATTCTGCACGCGCGTTAGCTTCTAAGACTCTGCATCCTGTATTCTGCATTATGCATTTTAAGATTCTGCATTCTGCATTAATACGCCTCCTAAAGACGTGTTGAAGACCGTTTATATTCTGACCCAAAATGTTTCTGGAGATTCGTAAATGGCAAAACGCGGTCGTTTTCCCAACATTCATCACATCGTTCTACTCGTAACGGCGCGGTTTCTTATGTTTCTTCGACTAAAGACATTGCCGAGGAGTTTGCCTCATTTTTTAGCAGCTGTCACTTACCGTCCACTCGTTCCGTGAAATCAGACTGAGTGAATAATCCCACTGATGATGACTCTTTCTACCAGTTTCGTGTTACTACATGTGACGTCGTCGCGGCGATAAAAAAGCTAAAGCCTAAACTGTCGGGTGGTGCTGACGAAATTCCACTTTTTATTATTAAAGGCTGCTGTGGACTGATAGCCCCCGCACTAGCTCATATCTTTGACGTGTCATTGCATTCTAGTATATTTCCCGCAATATGGAAGGAAGTGATAGTTGTGGCCATTCATAAAGAGGGCGATGCCTGCATTGTGTCAAATTACCGCCCTGTGTCACTTTTGTGCGGTTTTGCTAAAATATTTGAAACAATCGTGCAACAATGTCTTTTCTCCCATTAATCAAAGTATCTTACGCATCAGCAACATGGCTTCATTAGAGGACGTTCCGGTGAAACTAACCTTTGTACATTTCTTCATTACGCAGCCCCGGTCGTTTCAAAAAGCGGTCAGATTGACTCGATTTATTTCCATGTTTCAAAGGCTTTCGATTAGGTTGATAATTTTTTGCTCGTACAAAAATTGGAACAATGCGGTGTTGTACCTAAGCTTTGTGATTGGGTTTCCAGTTATTTGTCATCGAGAAGAAACTTTGTTCGTGTTGATAATGTTTTATCAAGTGCGTTCTCTCCAACTTCAGGAGTACCCCAGGGGTCAGTAGTGGGGCCATTGCTATTCATAGTATTCATTAATGATATTTCAAAGTGTATTACACCTGCAAGGATGCTTTTATTTGCTGATGATATAAAGGATTTTTCACATATTCATTCCGAAAAAGACCGTGAAGCGCTACAATCTGATGGGTTAAGCATTTCTATGCGGTGCCTGTTAAACCGCTTGCCTTTGAACGCCAACAAAACTAAGGTAATCTCGCCAACAAGACGCAATAATTCCTTACACTTTAAATACAAGTTGGGAAACTGTGCTATTGCTCGATCTGATGTAGTCAGGTACCTTGGAGTGCTAGTAGACTGTAAACTATTGTTCAGATCTCATGTCACTAACATTTATGATACCGGTCTTAGAGTGCTCGGGCTGATGCGACGTTTGACACGACACTTCCAGGCTCCTGATACCTTATTACGCTTATTTTGTACTTTGTTTAGGCCACGACTTGAATTTGCGTCTGTTGTGTGGAACTTTCTATCACATAGCGATTGCAGACGCGTTGAAATGGTACAAAGGCGTCTGATACGCAGAGTCTACGATAGGCATTTTAACAGGAGACTCTATTTCGAGTATAATTTTTTTGTTAAAGTTTTAAACCTCAGAACCCTAATTGACCGTAGGCACTGCCGAGATGTGGTGTTTTTACGGAAAGTCATACAAGGTCGTTTCGATGTACCTGATCTTTTGAGTAGTACAAGCTTACGTGTGCCAGCTAAACATACGCGACTCTGCGACACGTTTTATGCTGACAAGCAGATTGAAGGGCCACCAATGCATAGAATTAAACTTTTTCGTAATAGCCTTGTGCAGCATGATTTCTTTTCCATGCCTAATTTTACTTATAATACCGAGTTGTCTCTGTAATTTATTTTATTATGACTGATGTGTCACTCCTGTATTTCACGTCTTTGCATGTTCAACTCACTGTGACTTTTATGTGCACCAATATCAAAGCCTTCACGGTGTTTTGGGCACGCAATAAATACCAATACCAATACCAATTGTTCTACTTCCTATTGTGCTCAAACTGTTGCTATAAGATTCTTGTTTAAGGTACAACAATGTTCAATTATGAAATAGCACTAATCTCAGGAAAAAAGTTTTGCGAATACTCAAATATGTAGGGGCAACCTAGGAAAAGAGGGCACTCAACCATTATTTATAAGAACAAAAATTCAGTGGGATACTTTACATAATGTTAAGTAATTTATATATTAAACCAACGTGTTATGATCGGCAACACGGCAAAAAAGAAACAGCAGAGTAAAATTAAAATGTTTTATTTGTGTCCATTTCGGAAGGAGCGGAGGTAGCGCAAACAACAAACAATTTGGTTGCTCTACGAGCCTCTCTACCTCCGCAGCATAACGGGGAAACACATGCTAAAAACACGGACGTATTGTACATTTATAAAGCAAGACCAGAAAAACTATATACTAGTCTTTCAAAAATAAAAAAAGACATGCAATTTATTTATAACTCAATTATTTAAACCACCTGTGGAAGAAGCAATTATAGAAACATTGAAGATAAAATTTGTGGGCGCTCGATATTCCTATATGAAGTTAACAGAAACGATTTAAAAGTACCCGTGGCGTCGTGTTAACAGAACACCCTGTACTGTGAGTAATTACGAAATGCAGAACCCACATTAGGAAGCAATTATTTTAATAAATATTCTATCAAAAATAAGTCTTAAGCACTCATTCCCGATATAAAACAAATCCAGCGCACAACTGTGAGGCGGAGATATAAAATTCCAATAAAACTTTAACCATATTGCAGCAGGAATGAAAAATGTCTTATGAAGTGTTTGATAAATATTCTGAACGGACTGTTTGTACCATATGATAGTTTCTAAATACTTAATGCCTAATTCTGAGGTTTACATGTTTTATTTGCATCATTCTATTTTTTATTTGTGTTTTTCTAGATCATCCCGAATATTTGGACCATTATTTTTGTGCGTGTGGCTTTGAGCTGAATTCTTTCCCTTCCTATCATGTACTGTAACGCGTCGGTGACTCGTCGGATTTTTGTGGTCAATGGAAATAAACCTTTTTTTAAAAACTGTGAAAATAACATGGACTTTTTTTTGCACTATTTTTGGCAGAGGCAGGAGTAACACGGAATGCATTCCATGTTGGTTTACCGTAAGGACGCACAGGCGAACTTGGCACACACATTTCGAGTTCCAGCGGCGAGTACGAGCTTTCTAAGTGTAGGCGCCAATTTTTCCGGCTCGTTTTACAGTGAACGTTCTGCTTGAGACACCCTATAAATTGGAGTTTGTGAACTCACTAAAACCGTTGTGAAAAAACAAAAAACGAAAAAGCTTTGTTTTTACAGGCAAAGAAAGGGTTAAACTCCATATATTTGAGCAGCCACAAAAAGGAAAAAATATGCAGGTCACTTTCAGAGACTCAAGTGCTAACTTGCGAGAAACGTTCACATGACTAGGTTTTTAAAGCATGAAATGCGTAAAAAGCAAGAAATTCCAAAATTCTTTCCGGCCGTTCATCTGTCTGTGCATTTCTCCCTAAAGTTAGCGGGAAAACAGATTTCACGAGACCTATACACGAATTCAGTTTTTCGACTAAATTTAGCGGGAAAATTGATGCGACGTGGCCCGACATCACGGGACATATAGACCAATTGAGTTTCCTCGCTAAATTCGGCGTAAAAATTGACGTCACGTGATTTATAGACCAAATCAACTTCCCTGCTAAATTTGGCGGGAAAGTGGCGTCACGTGACCGGTAAGTTAACTCAGTTTCCCTACTAAATTTAATGGGAAATTGACGTCACGGGGCCTCGGCACCAATTCAGTTACCCGCAAAATTTAGCGGGAAAGTTCATGCCTTATGACACAGACACCCAATTCAGTTTCTCTGCTAAATTTAACGGGAGAAATCAATGTCATGTGACCTGACGTCACTTTAACCTATACACCAAATCAGTTACCCTCTAGATATAGCGGGAAAAATCACGTCCTGTGACCTAAACACCAGTCCAGTTTCCCGCTAAATGTAGTGGGAGAAATCGGCAGCACTTGACCTGACGTAATGTGACTTACCGAGCCATTCAGTTTTGTCGCTAAATTTAGGGAGAAAATATACGTGGCCTCAACATTCACTGCTAAATTTAGCGGACAAATTAAGTTTGCCCGTTAAATGTAGCGGGCGAATTGACGCCACGTGACCTTAACACCAATTCCATTCCCTGCTAAATATAACGAACAAATTCAGTTTCTCCATTAAATTTAGCAAAAAAGCGACGTCATCTGACCTCAACACCAATTCAATTCCCCGAATTTAGTAGGAAACTTTCCCGCTAAATGTAGCAGAGAAAAGGAGTTTCGTCATAGGTGACGGGACACCAAGTCCTGTGACGTCATTTTGCCCGCTAAATTTAGCGGGGAAACGGAATTGGTGTTGGGGTCACGTGGCGACAATGTTTCAGCTAAATTTAGCTGGGAAACTGTGGGAGGAAAGGTTACGCCGGAGGAGAAGGGTAGGGCACGGAGGAGGAGGAGGGAAGAGGAGGAAAGGGATCGGAGGAGGAGGAGGGGCATACCCTCCCTTCCGCGTACTCTCCCCTCCTCCTCCTCAAGAGCTCTCTAATTTCCCATTAGAAAAATTTGTAACCTTCTTTCACCTTTTCATATTTCCATTAAGAAATTTTCTTAAAAGTAAACCTTGACAGAGATCTGTCTATACTCTGTTTCACCTTACGATGTACCGCAGGAAAGGCCACAAGCGCGAGCTCCTTGCTCTGGGGCACATCTCGGCGGCACAAGCTCTCGTGCACCAAGGGCAACTGCCAACGCTATGAGCTCGCGCTTCTAGCCTTCGCTGCGGCACAACATAAGGTGAAACGAAGTATAGTTGGGAACAATTAATTATTAAAAAGTTCAAACATCAACCAAGCCGTTCTAAGGGACCCTACGTTTCGAAGCCAAGTCGGCCACCTCTTTAGGGGCTCAACGGCCATAGCCGTAGTCGGCCCTGGAGGGCATTAGAAATGTGGGGTCCCTACAGAAGAGTTTAGTTAGTGTTTGAACCTTCTAATAAGACACTTTCTTGTTTGTTTTACTTTCTTCCAAAGTTATCGTGTTAGGTCAGGATTCAGGCCGCGCTCCTTGTCCAATTGACGCGCCAGGGCCTTCCAGTCCTTCATATATTCGAGGAAGCGGAGGGCGCAGAGTGTTTTGTTCACAATCTTGCGAAGCCTTTCTTCGAAGGGACCGATGAAGTTACGCTCCAAGCTTGTTCCCAGCTGGTACTGCGGAAACAGAACAAGATATTGTCACGGGTGGTGACCAATAAACAATAAACAATAAATAAACAGAAAGAAATAAACGTTTAATGTGGCGAACTTGTGCCAAAAATAAAAGGGTACAAAAGATAATAACGGAGCGTCGCGGGCGTCGAAGTCGGCGTAGCAGCAGAGTCGAACGCTGGGCGAAAAACTGACTGCAGATCGGCACGCGGAGTTCCTTATGTACGCGCGTTGGGTTCTGGAACAATCGGCCTAGATTGTTCGGCGACTGGAACATTCAGAACTCGATCTGACGAGAATGTTCTCGAACTCACGAGAACACAATGAAAGAACAAATAAAAGAGCATTCCACTGACTGGAATCGAACCCAGACTTTCTGCACGACAGTCAAGCACGGTAACCACTCCGCCACGCGCGCGGTCGCTCGCTGACGAGCGTGGAAATATAATGTAAGACGTAGGCATCTGGAATCCGCTTTTTTTTTTTAACAGGAAGCCCCAGATATTTGATCACTGCATGGCTTTACTACCTAACTTGAAACATTTCATTGAACGATAACGTAAGGCCGGGATGTGTTCTCGGTGGTCGAAATTGTGCGTTTTATCTTTCACGTTTTGCTAGACAAAACATTTTCTCTATTGAGGATAATTTTGAAATAAATTAATGATTTAGAATACACTTGATAGGAAGGAATAAAATGAAAAAGTATCTGGCAGTCATTATTGAGAGCTTTTTGCTTGCTTCAGCGGATCTGACAAGAGCCACCCGATTCTCGTTGGGCGTGGCAACGCTCAAAACGCCCCCATCCGGAGTTTTATTTGCTCCGGTCGGCGCTTTCTTGTCGTAACCGATGTGCCTGGAACAGTGTTGCCAATTTGGCGGTTTGTTGAGTCGTCCAACTGAAGATGAGGCCGTTTTGCGCGCGGCGGGAGTTTTAGCGATTTTCAAGTCATGGTAGCGTTTCTTACTGGCGGCCTAAAATGCTCTCAAATTTACATTCATGAATCATAAGTATCTTAATTTTTGTATTAAGCTAGTGTCATGGTTAAGACAAAAACACAAAAAAACAGGAAATATTAATACATACATGGACAAAGACAGACAGTACTGTTCTTCGTGCTGTCTGTCTGTCTTTTCGTTTCCTTAGAGTCATAACCTTTTCGTCTCCTTAGTCTCTTTTTATTTTCGTAGAGTCCAGGGGGTTCCCATTTTACCTTACTACCAGCACGGTTCTTGTCAGTAATAGCAACGTTTGAGACGCCATTGACATATTACAGTGGCAAACCTGGAAATTCATCTTCAACTGATTTGTGTGTGAATGACTGAGTTCGTTTTCCAAGTCTCCCAGATAAAACGGGCCATTAAACTTGCTCACAGATCCATAAAACGGGTTTGCAATATCGTTCTAAACTTTCATAGCGGAGTTTGGAAGCTCCAGGTGACGGCAGATGAGTCAGAGACCCCGGAAAATACTATAACTTTTTCCAAATCATGCGAATCTAGTCACTGATGTTTCGAAATGCCAAAAAATATTGCATTAATGATCGGAACGATGGAGGGAAATGTCTGTAGGTTTGGCAGAGAATGCACCTGGTAACACATGAGTGGTAACAGTAAGATTATGCAATGAACTTTAGTTCGTGCAGGGAAACATTTAGTGTCCAACACCTAAGTCCCTTTCAAGAGTCTTGTAAAAACAATATTATGATATTTTTCACTAAATAGAGCAATACATTATGTGTGCCAAATATTGAGCGGTTTTAAGCGGTTTTCCAGAATTCCTACAGCTGGTGTTAGATTTGTGAGTTGGCAAGGCTGCTTTGTAAATTATACGTACAATGTCTCCAACAATAGCATAAGAATGGAGTTTTGAAATCCCGAAAGTTTTCTTTTTTCATCCATTCTCAATACATTCTCCTCAATATATTATGACACCTTATTAAACCTCTAGAGTTTTATGCTATGAGAAGAATGCATTAAATTTAAAATAAATATTTTTTATCAAAAAGGGTTTGAATTTAAAAGAAAAATCTGGAGTCACTTAAAACACGCGAGCTAATATATAAATTTTAGGCTTTTCAGATAAGGACTATCAAAGTGGTGTCACCTGCATTTTTTGTTGTCAATTAATCTTTTTATAAGAGTTACCAACACATGCCGTACACAAAACAGTTCTTACTTCTGCAAGATATTTTCTTGTTTCCATGATAAAAGTGTCGCATGAGAGGAGGTGAAAACAACCGCTTTCTTAATTGCACGTTGACGTAGATTTAAGGGCCAGAAAAATGAATTATACTACATTTAGTGGTCAATATTTTTTTTTGTCAGACACACGCGAATTGATCTGGCATATTTAGATGAATGTAATTTTTTTTTAGTTCAATCCTAAAAGAAAATAGCTTCTGGAGCAACTCTTTTCTAAGGAGGCATTTTTGGGCGACCTTCTAAAACATATTAGGATTGGGTTTTTGAGCAGAAATTAGGGGCAGAGTATATCATGCATTTCGCACTTCCAACAAAAAGTCAAGTCTCTTCACTGTTTTAACAGGTTCTCGCATTGTGCCCGGAATTTTTTTTAATCGATAAAGTCAAAAGTATGAAATATTTGTGCAATACTTAAAAAAAAATCTGCTCGAGCATTTTAAAATGCACTTAATACATCTTTGATGACCGGTAATTTCAAATCTGTGAAATAAGTACGCTGGCTTATATTGTTTCAAGGTAAAAACAAACCCTTAACCAAGTATAGTTGGAAGGGGGGGGGGGGGGGAGGACTGTTCTAACGACTAGTCGGTGGCCTACCGTCGACTACTCTCGTTTTCACCTCAAGAAAGGAGCAAGTTTTGCGTATTGTTTACGCGTCGCACGAAGTAATTCTTGCGAGATTTGGTTGTCAGATGAAGAAGCGATGCCTTTGGCGTTTGCAGCTTGTTCGGGTTGACAACACATATCTAATCTAAAATAAACTTGCATATATCTTAATACTCTACATTAAGGGGGAAATTCGTAATGCCCCTCGAGGAGCCGGACTTTTTTTAGGACGGTTCTTGAGGTGAAAACGTGTATGGTCGTTAACACAGTACCCCCCCCCCCCCCCTCTCCCTATCGGTACCTGGTTAAGCGTTTAATTTTTGCCTTAATCCAAAAGAAGCAACATATTTTGTACACATTCCGAATTAGCGTTTGTCAAAGATTCATGAAATGCAGCTAAAGAAAGCCGAGAATAATTATTGTTTATTGTCGCGCAAGGATTGCATACCTTAGACTTTCTTGACTAAAAAAAAAAATCTTCCGAGCGCAATACGAATATTAGTTACAACTGTAGAGGGCTTATCTTTCTGTTGAAAGTGCAAAAAGTATGATGTAGTATTTCCTCTTTAGCGCAGCAAACTCTGGAGAGTGAGTCACCTCCTCTCCAGTGTCTAAAGTGGGAAGAGGTGGGAGGAGCTACCTCCATAACCCAGCCTGTCACCGACAAAATATCTTCCTGAGCACTGTTTGCCAGGGCTGTGGTAGCACTTGGTGCTATTTGTGAGCAGACATTACGGAGCATTACAATAGAACGTGCGAGGCTTTTTGTATTAGTGGCATCGCTGATATTGTGTATGAAAACTGAACTTTATGGCATATTCGGTGGTTAGGGAGTTGACTTGGACACCACGTTCATTGCGCTATTTGGTGGAACGTGTGCCGGCAAAAAGACTAAAGTTGAGGCTTGAGCGAGTTGTTACGTACTTCGGAATTTAAAACAGCGCGAAAAGACGAGGACCAGACGAAGAAGTAACACGGACGGCGCGCTGCGTCCTTGTTACTCCTTCGACTGGTCCTCGTCTTTTCGCGCGGTCTTTTAATAACGACAAAAATAGTTTGATTTATTTTTCTAAATATCGTTTTACTCAGTTTCCCATTGCGATGGACGACAGCGCATCACGTGACAGCGCGATGCTGCGCCCCTCTAAGGGGTTACGTGACGCTCACGTGACATTAAAATGTCTTTATTTAGTAAAGTCCCTCGATGCTTCGTTTTACAAGTAGTTGTCGTAACTAAACGAATGGCGAAGCACAATCTGGAGGAACAAAATGGCGTCATTCAGTTCCCTCTTCTGCTTTGAGTCGCCATTGTTTTTCCTAAAATCTGCACCGTCAAGCAGTCGGTGCTTCAAAGACTGTCGCGACTTGTAGGAAGCACTTATCTAGGAGCTTTAGTCTTCGATGGCTCGTAGCGCCCTCTAATGCCGTCGTCTAGTAACACGTGCTACAGCAGGAGGCGACGCTACTGGCGCTCCTGCGACAACCGATTGCGTACGTTGTCCAGGGGGGAACGGTAAGGCTTCCGTTTACGAGAAGAATGTCGCAGAAATGGGAAGTGATACCCCGTGATAAATGACACCCCTGACGTTTGTGACGCCGCTGCACGTCCGGGATGTCTACACCGCGCAGCGGAAGACCCGTGGAAACTGAAAGAATAAATAAACAGAGCTTCGTACACCAGCACTTTTTCCTTTCTCAATTCCATAATGCAACATGGTTTTTCGTAAGCATGGATACCGACAGAATGTAGCGTAAGTAATGGAGAGGCAAAAATATTAAAGCTGGCTTTTTTTTTCATCGTCTCAGTAGGTTTCTTTCGGTATTGATCGCGTGTTTGGGTGCCAACATCTCGAGAAACATTTTGTATAAATGCTCTATATTTATATCGCTTTACAGCTGCGTGCAAAGTACATATTCTTGAAGTAAAATTATTTGGTAGGAGTGTCTGAGATACGTACCTGCAAATTTCAAAGATAATGATAGGTGAATGTGCCGTTCGTTCGAGTTTTTTTTTGTATTATACGCCTAATGTAATAATCAATCAATAATATTTTTTTACTGATAATTTATCAGTACTAACCAACTTTTCGTAATAACGTGCTTCTGATTAGCGTCTTCGCCATGCGCCAATACAGAAGTTTGAACTCGGTGCATGTGAAATTTCGACGAGGCTCTTTTTTTTTCCTAAGCAA